GAAACATCGATTCACCATTTTATGCGGTCCGTTCACCACGCAGGTAGTTGTCATCGTGTATATCGATCCAGTGTCGTTGGCAACATTTTAAACACACCGATAACAGCAACGACGACGCCTTGGGCAGAGTACGATACAAACTTCCGTTCACGTTCACCGCGTTCACTCGCCAAATATACCAACGGTACAGCAGATTGTACCGATGTTCTCGTATCACTGTTTTTCTTTTCTTTTTTTATCGCACTACCACACACCGTACGAAATTTCGTACACTCCGACGCGAAAACGTACAACGCGTGGCAACTGATTTTTCGCCGGAGCCTGGCGAGGGGAAATCTGCGCCTCTTCCCACCGCGGTGAAAATAATGCATAAATCACGCGGATTATTTATGACAGGGCTGCACGGCTACGTATTATCAAGTAATAATCAGTATCGGAGCGTTGCGTAATACCGTGGAAAATTCACGTTCGGAGCAGAGATTAATACGCTGCTGACGTTTGCATAAATCCTTCGCAGCTAGCTTAAACGCGCGTCGATCCCGCTACATCTTTCAGGATATATCTTTCCGCTCGAATATCCCAAAATTTTCCAAACTTGCGCATTCCAGCTCGAAAATTATGAATAACAATAGGCACGTGTGTTTCTGCTTCGTGTCGGACGATGCGTTCAACACGTCGACTGCCACGGTTGGTCACCACGCTGTTGGTTTCTATTTTCACAAATATTTTAGAACAACTGAGACGAGCGGCAAAACAAGTGACGCGAACAAAATGATTATTGTAGTTTTATCACAGTTGGACTTGGAGCTCGAAAACCTCTGGCAAAGACGGAACTCTCTTATTTCATTTCCATTACTTGGAACATTAACTCGAATTATTTGCTACATGTTTGGAATATATTTCTACAACTCGAATTCAGAGAACAACTAATTCAAGGAACAACTTTCCCATCGTTCGCTCTCTCTTTCAATCTTCAAACTTTACTCTAATAATAATCATTGCGGGCGTCTCTCTCGAAATTATTGAACAAAATGAATTCCCGTTTACCAAACATCTCTCAACGCGAACACAAGAGAGCTCGATCTCTTTTCTTCCCTGAAATTCGATTCGACATTCGGCATGATGCGTGCAACGTGATATTTTCTGCAAATGAAACATTGCACTTCGAGGGGTGCAGGCAAACCGTGGCAGCGAACGCATTAATTGAACGGGGGAAACATTCCAACAGCTTCACCTTGCCACCACTAATTATATCCCAAACAACAGGTGCAAACGTTTGCAGTTTAGCAACGCGACGAAGTTCATCGAGAAATAGACTCCACGTGATTCTCCACCGCGTTACACAACTCGCAACTCGCGAACGAGCAAACAAACGAACGAACGAACTCTCTCGTCGCCGAGAGAGAAAGAGAGAGAGAGAGAGAGAGAGCTTTTGACGATCGAAACGCGGCTTCGAGTGCCTTCCTCGACGACTGAAGAACGCGAAACTGCGACAGTTCTGTCGGTAGGAGCAAGAAGTAACGTTACACGGTCCCGTTTCTCGTTCCCGCGGAGCGTCACACACGCTCGAAACTGGCGATCGTCTCGCCCGCGACTCGACTGTGCTCGCTCGCTCGCTTGCTCGCGTTCGTGCCGCGCCAGTCATCGCTATTATAATATTAGACCAGTGGCCGGCTATTTCCAACCGACTGTGAAAATATACCATCGGCACGCGTGTTGTACGAAGAAGGGATACGGCCACGATAAAACAAGCATTTCGTGGTCAGTCACACGGCTCGCCAGCTCTACCTATCGAGATTTACGATCCCGTATCGATCGATCGCGAAGCGAGCGAAAACTCAAAAACACGTCCTGTCGGCTCTTTTCCCAGGCGATGTTGCTTTCCAACTTTTATTTCGTTTTCTACTCGCGTTGGTTTCTTTCCAAAGCAAGCGAAGCATTTTAAGAAATAATGTGAAAAATAGAAGCGCCAATAGTTTCGCGGTAATTTAATGATGAGTCCACGAACCAATATTTCGCATTGTTGTAGTAAAACTGTGCGCAAGATGAGCTCTTGAGAAATATTTTGCATAGACGTTTCTGGGATAACAATGTTTCTTCTTTAATATATACAGGAATTAATTCGTTCGATGTTTATTTCGCGTTCGTTAAAAATGAAGAATTTCTTCGATATTTATATTCAACTAATAACTTTCGTCTATATTTCATGTGTTACACATTCGCAAATATCACGTGCCTGTTCATCCAATCAAAGCATGAGCGGTAACAAATGATTTAGTGGAATTTTTCCAAGTGAAAGTAACAATCTATTATCCACGTTTCTTACTCGATGAATTCGAGAAGCCTTATTGTCGGTCATTGTAGAATCAATTGGAGCAAGCCGCGTAGATAATTCCGTTGGGTAGAATTCGCGGAAGTTCGGAGCAGAATGGACATCCATGAGCATTACGTGGACACACACGTTCAAAACCGACACGGTGGTCCCGGAATCTTGGCTCGAGAAACTCCAACCGGGCCGAATCCGTGCCGTTCGTGTTTCGAATTAACATCGCGACACCAAATCCGCGGCTATATTCGTTGGCCTTTGTCGGAACGCGCGGCTCGATGGGGACATGGGTAAAGATAGCTACATTTCGTGGCAAATAACTCGGGTGGTTTCAGGCCACGGCGACCTTGAAATTAATTACCGACTCCCGACTGGACGAATCGATGCAAAACCTCCCCTGCTCCTCCTCCTCCTCCTCCTCCTC